CTATGGATAAGCCGAATATCGCCGGCCCATGCTGGCTCTGATAAATTGTCCTCGCGAAAGTAGCATAATATGCTACTACTAGCAGTTCTCGTATATTTCTAAAATTATGCCAATAATTATGCTAGTTTATGTAAATTATCCTCATGCAGAAATTACGCTATTTCTTTTTACTTCTGTAACTACGTAACAAAAGCAAATTATGCAGCAGTGCTCTTTTTTTGGGAAAATGGGTGAAACTTATGCTACTGTTGAAGATTTATGCCAAACATTAAACTAGCACAATCCAGCCCAATCCGAAGCCTAATCGCCTGTTGGTCCACGCTTGGAATTATTACACCTACATCCTGCACTGTAGGCATTGAATGTTCCATCCTCGTAGATCCAGGAGCAGTTAATCGGGACGTTCATTCATGGCTAAAATTGTCCCCGCACTCCACCCCCCAGGCACTCGGTGAACCTCACTGGCATGCGTGGCAATCGCTTGATTTATGAATGAAAAGGCGGATCATTTTACGTTTCTGTGAAGCTGCGCACCTACCCCTCCGCTAAACCAACATTAACACTTAGTTCTTACTTAAGGCAAAATGTTGGCTTAGGGGAGGGGTAAGTGGGCAGTTTCCCAGAAACGTGAAATGATCCGAAAAGGCAAAGGGGAGATCAAAGTGCGCGAGTAAACAAAGAGAAGCGCGAGAAGAAAGAAGGAAATGAAGGTTCGTCCCGCGTCCAACACACTATCGCAAGCCTTTATTCATCCTCTCCTTCAAATATCTTCCACGCTGGCCGTCAGTCACACTAGGGAACAAAACACCTTACTGGTGCGCAACGCACGCAAACGTGTACTTAAGATGCAACGACGAGGACGACAACGAGAACGTCAAAAAAGAAATTGCTTTAATTAGCAAAACAAGACGCACGTGCATCACACTTTTTTGTACATTTCTTTCCCGGTTTTGCACGACTGCGACGTAAAAATACCTAATTTCGCGTGTTATGGAGGACGTAGACAAGCAACGACGATTTATTTCTCTTTCTGAGCTTGAATTTGGTCCCTTGAAAATTCAACTTCGGGAGGGTTCGCCTACAATTGACAAAGTAAGTGGGTAGGAATAATCGCTATAAAGACTGAAAGAACGGAAATTCACTTTTTTAGCGACGTTCTTGTCGCCGTCGCGTCGTTGGATCTTAAAGTCCCTAGTACCTGTTAGAGGCTTGCGAGGGTGTCAAGCTAAAAAACCATTAAGAACTACTTGTAACTCAACTTTATTTAGCACCTCTCTGAGGTTGCAATTAATTTAACAAGGAGGGTTTATTTGAGACACGCCCATAACGCAGATTTGTAGAAAAATTTCGGTCGGAGCGCGTTTCACTCGATGAGCTACGAAAAACGGCAAACTATTGGTAGCCTACTGTAAGAATGACTGTAATCAAAAGGGATTGTTACAAAATTGTTTTTATTTACAGCAAATCAGTAAAAAGCAATTGAAACTAAAACCTAATTTAAATAGTAAAAAATTTTTCAAAATTGCTTAATTATACAGTACTAAAAAAATAAAACATACTTTAAAAATAAAGTTCTTTACCGTCTCTAGCTCTTTGATATAGACACCTATGAAATGCGGACACTCGGCTCTGTCCGTTTAGCCAAAAAATAAAAACTAAAAAAAAAATATGGGAAATTTCAACTATGCAACTCAGTTAACTCTCAAATCATAGCTTACATATCGTAAAATCAATTTTACGAGAGGTTGTCAGTAAAACGCGGGGTCGGGGTCAGAGTGGGGGGCCTATCTTTTTTTAGAGTTACGTTTAGCTCTGGGGTTAGGATTACGGTAAACCCTAACAGCATTCTTTAAAAAAGGAAAGACTCCGACCCCAGCCCCAACCCCGCCCCGCGTTCTACTGGCACCCTTTACAGGACAAGAGAAACACGAAACAACCTAAATTTTCTCGCCGTATTTGAAAATTCTATCACAAATTTACAAAGACAAAAATTTAGTAGCTGTATATTGTTTGTTGCTATTGGGAATTGAAAGCTTTGTGGGCACAAGTCTTTGCAAAAACATGAGAAGTAGGAAAACAAATTTGAAGAAATAACCGCTAACCGGTATTTGCACTCTTCAATATATTCTACCTTCTATTAAAAACTTGAACCAGAATGGTATACCAGGGTCTCGTTCAGGTTCGGAATGGCTCATCTTTATCATTCGAGGGGTAAGCGAGTTCGTCACCCTCGATAAAGTGATCTTCGTCATCTTCTTGTTCAAGGCGACTCATGGGTTTATTACGTGACATCCAATTCAAGTACCGATACTTGATCGTGCGATGCTTGTAGACAAAGAACAAAGCCACACCCAATAAAAGTACAATCACCACTACTCCCACGCCAATCAAAATCTTGTTTACTTTGCTTGATACCTTTTCTCTAAAAGCCAGAACAGTAGCCGTGACTGTAACCGTGACACATTTAGTTGGCGTGACACACTCTTCTGTCGTGACATTAGCGCCGGGGGATTCATCAGGTGCCCAGCATGGGATAGAACGCAGTACCGTGACGTTCCGGGTTCCGTTTATGCGTTCTCCGTTAATCCGCGTAATGTCTTGTTCTCGGCATTTCGGGCATGCGTACAAGGACTTCCAAACAAATCGAAATTCACAGCCATGTTGAACTAAAGAGAAGTTGCCCTCTCTTCCGGGCTGACCCACTCCAGCTGTAACGTCACATCTGAGGTCAATAGTTGTTTTGAATCGGCCATTGTTTCCTTCAGACAGAATCAAAAAAGACATCATAGCTCAAGTCCTATGATAAATATTTTTTTGGCACGCGCGTCGCTTAAGGTCCGCCTCCAGTTCCGTTCGGGTGAGGTGATAGGGTAGGCAGCTTCAATCAAGGTATAGTGCAGCTTAAGCAATTACGACGGCGACCGACGGCAGCGGAAACGTTACTTAAAACTTGAATTCCAAGTGCAATAAAACGTGAAATATGGAATTGTGCAATGTCGATAAAGACATGTGAAATGGCAAAAAAGCGTGATGCTCATGTAAAGTTGTTCTTTTACTAACTTAAATATATTGTTTTTGCCGTTTTCGTTGACGTCGCCGTTGCTTAACCCTTTAAGCCCCAATATCCACATACAAATTCTCCAAACTGATCTCGATATATTTCCTTAAAGAATGAGTTGAGAGAATTTTATAAAAGATCAAAGCATTTTTCTCTTAGGTGATCATTTTATTAATTCTCATAACCTCATCTCATGACAATGTATGGAAATCGTCAGGAGAAAATTGCTGTTGGTCACTATTGGGACTTAAAGGGTTAAAGGGAACATCCACTTCAACAAAAAGATAACTTTAAATCACAGGAAATAATTGTTACAGTCAAGTCAATCTAAAATATTTTTAAAGAAAGCGTTTGTATCCGAAAGAAACAACTTTTAGATTCGCCTATTTTTGTTTTCAAATTTTGCGGGCGTCGCCATCTTGAATAATTGTGACGTGTAATGGTTGCCCTATTGTTATTAAACAAGAGCTCTTTGTGTCAGGACAATAGAGCAACCGTAACACGTCACAATTATTCAAGATGGCGGCGCCCACGAAATTTGAAAGTGAAAATAAGCGATTTTAAAATTAACTTTTCCTGATATAAACACTTTTTTTAAGACAAATTTCGAACAAATTTGTTTATCAACATAATTTTATTCGATTTAAACTTATTCTGTAGTAAGAGTGGACGTTCCCTTTAAGCTTCCTATTCTTTGAGAGAGCACGTTAGATCCCCGTAGTCATTACTGGTTTCTCGCTGGTAACCTTGACAACAGCATGTGTCAAAGTGTCCACTCTCCTTCCGCGCCTTTTACAAGTGTAATGGCCATTTTCCAGCTTACGACTGAAGCTACGTGCACAGGGCACCAGACGAAGTTTCGACCGCACACTTGGTTCACATGGCACCGATCAAGATTTTCGTTCTGTTCACACGAAACATTAGAGAGCTTTAGATTCTGAGACGAGGACAACTAAGAGTACGAGATTTTCTCGATACTGAGTAGTGCGCGCCTGTGAAACAGCGTCATTTTGGCGGGAAAATGTGGTAGTCGTCATTCTATTACGAATTTAGCCGACATTGTCGTAGTGGCGGGAACAAGTTATCAAATGTAAGAAGTTTTATCATTTTTCTATCGGGAGAGGGTTTAACCTCCTGCAGTATAATAACCGTACTAACTTTTTTGGTGAGAAAAAGGAAAATGAAACTTTCCGGGGTGTTTTTTTTAGAACACGCGCAAATACTTTAAGTTAAATCTCGCACTCGTACTCGTTGTCAATCTAAAGCTCTCTCTTGAACGGCTTGGCGTCTACATTTTCATACCGTTATGGTGGTTCCGTGCGAAAGCAACAACTAAACGCACGAATTTTCAACCGATCAAAAATTCGGAGGGTGTCGTTTGCACATAGCCTGAGACAAAGTCGGTGTTGTTTCGAACTGCATTATGGGATTGTAAGGGAGGACGAATGCATTTGTAGCTAACTTTTGTGATAAAGAGGCGAGGGGGATGTCACGTTACCATGGTAGCAAAATTTCTGGATCACAATAGGGAGCTTAAGCAAGGACGACGGCGACGGCAACGAGAACGGCAAAAAAGGAATATGTTTACCGTAGTTGCACGCGTATCACGGTTTTTTTTTTCTGTACCTTTCTAAGCCGTCGTTGCACGACTGCGACATGGAACATCCTAATTTCACGGCCCCCGCTTGATGGAGTACGTGAACACGAGACAACAATTTTCTTTTTCTATTTCTAAACTTAGATTCAGTCTTTTCGGATTCAACCCGAGAAATTTTCGCCAACATTTGACAAATAGAATAAAATTGACTAAGAGCAATGAAGTTTAAGACTGTGCGAATTCAAATTTTCCGTTTGTCGAGATCCAGAAACTTTGCTACCATAGCAACATGACGTAACGACTTCTCTCCTCTATTGTGATCAATTTTCAATCTGTTACTGTTTCTTACAATTTGTTAACAACTCGTTGGCTGCACTCACCTCCAGAGAGATATTTGTCACCGTGAAGCAACTCCACAATCAAGCCAGAGCGGATATCCGGTTTTCGTTTGTAGCCAATCACGGACCCAATGCTCACGTCATTGTACCAAGAGGAACTGCAAGCCATCACGGGAAGGGGAACTCTTTTACCGCTGATCCTGTCACGAGATGTGCACGAGCTATTGTCGTGATCAACGGTGCAAAGGTTGACATAATATGTTAAACTGTAAGGGAATATTAAGCCAGAGCTGTACCTCCTAAAGAACGAAAGCAATAACAAGAAAACAATGATAATTAGCAATAGTTTTCAACTTTTGACGTGGACAAGTTAAGGAAAATCCGTCGACACCTCTGAAAAGAGCACCTTAAAATTAATAAAATTGCCATGTTTGAAAAAGATTTGATGAAAACTAATGAAGAAATAGCTCCCGAAATTCGCGAAATTGTCAAAAATTTGGATGATTATACGTTTCTGGGAAACTGCCCACCTACCCCTCCCCTATGCTAACATTTTGTTTCTGGCTGAAATTTTCGAAAAGGTAAGTTTTGATCCCTATAATTTTCAGATCACTAGACTTTCAGCTAGGAAATCCGAACAGATGAAAACTTTTTTAGGGGATAAAAATATTCCTGTATCTACCGTTTAAATACTAAAATACGTTTAACAATGCTATGTTAAAGTGGTTTTGAACTATATTCTCGTTGGGTGCCCCTGTTATATCTTCGCTCGCTTTAGACGCATCACTTTGAAATTGGCAATATTATTAATTTCAAGGCAATTTTTCCAGTGGTATCTACGGATTTTTCTTAACTGGTGCATGTCAAAAGTTGAATAAACAGAGGGAGGGTCTATTATGAAGATCCAGGAGACTGTTATCCACCAAGGCGGAAGGCCGAGGTGGCTTTACAACAGTTTCGCTACTTGACAACTTCGCTACGTTCGAGTTCGCTTGAGTCTCGTCCTATGGGTGTGCCGAGGCCCACGTACATATTCGTCTCGCTGCCTATTGGCAAAGCCCGAAACTTGCACCCTCGGAGGGGGCAAGAAATACATTAAAAGATTTTTTTTCTAAAGGGACTAAGGGAGTATTTTCAGTGGCTTATAGAAAGTACTATGTAGCGAGTTTGTTGCGAACTAAGACGTAGAGAATTCGACAAGTAGCGAAACCGGTTGTTACCCTGAGGTGGATAACATGATTCCTCACATCATATGAATGCCGAATTCAATAATTGTTTTATTATTCATTCAAAAGATCTTTAAGATCTTAGCTTATACCCTTGAAGACTTCCTTCTAAGGTTTGGCCTATTCCTCGGTACGGTTTCAAGATACAAACACTTTTTTTTTGCAGATACTCCTCAAAAAGTAGATAACATCCATCGAACAATATGTTTTGCGTACAGTTGCATTTCTTTCGTTCAGTTTTTTTCCGGAATCTCTGGTTCGAAATTTAGCTATTTCGTCTTTGGATAGCCGTGAACGCAATTTCCTTAGTCCACTCGTGAATAAACGGCTAGGCGGCCGCACCTTGAAACGAGATTGATCGATGGTCTATTCCCCTTCAGCCTCGTTTCCAGGAAAATATATCCATCGAACAACCTCGTCTCCATTCCAATATACCATCGACTGCTCCCATCTTCCGAATTTGGTCAACGCCGGTTGGCTGTCAAGAATCAGTTGAGGGCTTTGAGCCAATTACAAACAGCAGTAATTACTGCAGACACCTTCCTCCACAACTTTTCCGACCCCCTCTTGGTCGTAACAAATAAAACCCTTAAATACCCTGGGTGAGAGGAAGGGGGAAGGAAAGGAATTTACCTTCGACGCCATGGGTGTAGTCCTGGTAAATTGACTTTAATCATTGATCCGCCGGGACGGGAAAGCGCAGAGAGGTCATAAACTACACCAGGTGCGGGACTGAATGTACATCCATTTGTGTCACAGCCATCTTTGTTTGGTAGAACTTTTGTATTGCTTCCACAAGGAAGGCATTCTTTACTACCCTTCTAAACAAAAAAACAAAACACTTTAGCTCAGGCATCAAGACACAAGGAATAACTCAATGTAAATCGATCTCCGAGAATAATTTCAAAATAAGGTTACTTCATGGTGTATGACAGATGCGTTAAGGGGAGGGGGGAGGGGGGGAGGGGGGGGGGGGGTCACGTTTCCATTTGATTACTGTCCAGCATTGATATGGCCAGGAATGAATGAATGGCTGGCTAGCTCGCTGACTGACTGACTACCTGACTATGGTACCAGACTGCCTGACTGAGGGACCGATAACCTGAAAGACTGACTGGCTGGCTGACTGACTGTCTAACTGACTGACTGCTTGGTTGGTTAATTAAATGACTAACTGACTGTCTCCCTTCCTGACAGACTGACTAACTGACTCACTGACGAAGTTATGAATATATGAAAATCATGTATGACTCACTGACTGTTGGCTGATAAAGTGACTGACTGATTAACTGATTAACTGAATGACTGACCGGCTTACTCACAACTCATAACAAAGTGTTCATTGTTTAGAAGCTATAACCACAAAACGAGAAAGTGTGTGTGACCGAACCCTCACTGACTCTTGTAGCAAACGTGAAGCTGTATACCTGTGCGGCAAAAGTCTGCCCTTGACATGGATCGCATTTATGAGAACCTGCTAAACTGCTAGTTCCATTTGGACAAATTTTACAGTCAGTGTTGTGTGTTGTGCTATGATATCCAGGTAGGCATGCTGTACAGTTGCGAGCCGCGCCAGACTTTGCACCAAGGATGCTTATGTTGGATACTTTCGCTTCAAATGCTGAAGAGAAAGTATCGTCTAGCTGGTAGAACGTCCATCTGTAACCAAAAGAAAGGCCATTAAACTTAAACATTTCGGTTTCAGTAGTATTAAAATCCAAAAATTATACTTTTTTCGCCAAAAAAGTTATTAGCACTCTCCAGATCGCAAATATTAATCAAACTTACAACATTTGATAACATGTTTCCGCCACTACGGCAAAACTCGTAGTAGAGTGACGATGGCCATCACGACTTTCCGCCAAAATGACGCTGGTTCACGCGTGCGCACTACTTAGTACTGAGAAAATCTCGTTCTCGAAATGTCCTCGTCTTAGAATAGAGGAGTTTACGTTCATAGTTGCATCATGGGTAATCAGGGCAAGATGGCGGGAAATCCAAAGATTTGTATTGGAATTCATAGCCAGCTAATTCTTCCTGAATTCATACAATTGTTGCTTTCTCTTTGAAAAGTCGATAGTATTCTTGGCACTCCAGATTTAGCGTATTGTTTCTTTGAACTCGTAAGCTACTCTTTTCAAAGAGAAAGCATCAAATATATGAATTCAGGAAGAATTAGCTGGCTTTGAATTCCAATACAAATCTTCGAATTTCCCGCCATCTTGCCCTGATTACCCATGATGCAACTATGAGCGTGAACTCCTCTGAAAAGGTCTCAACTGTTACCTGAACTGATATCTTCCCTTCTCCAGTGGATAAACACGCGTGACATAATTACCATCCCGTCGCTTCTCGAGGGTTGTCCAATACTGTCGACCAGAATCCAGTCGTATCCTCTTGCTTTCCATCGGAAAACCGGAAGTCTCGTGGTGTAAAGTCCTACCAAGTGTTTGGATGCATTGGACACGAATAGATTCCGATGGAAAAGTTCATTTTCAATTCGTGAGAGACTTAGAAAAATTCCGCTCATGTTGGATGAAGGGGGTGGAAAGTCGTTCCGATGGAGTGCATCGGATCCATTGGACACGAATAGATTCCGATGGAAAAGTTCATTTTCTGTTCGTGAGAGACTTAGAAAAATTCCGCTCATGTTGGATGAAGGGGGTGGAAAGTCATTCCGATAGAGTCCATCGGATCCATTGGACACGAATAGATTCCGATGGAAAAGTTCTTTTTCTATTCGTGAGAGACTTAGAAAAATTCCGCTCATGTTGGATGAAGGGGGTGGAAAGTCGTTCCGATGGAGTGCATCGGATCCATTGGACACGAATAGATTCCGATGGAAAAGTTCATTTTCTGTTCGTGAGAGACTTAGAAAAATTCCGCTCATGTTGGATGAAGGGGGTGGAAAGTCATTCCGATAGAGTCCATCGGATCCATTGGACACGAATAGATTCCGATGGAAAAGTTCATTTTTCTATTCGTAAGAGACTTAGAAAAATTCCGCTCATGTTGGATGAAGGGGGTGGAAAGTCGTTCCGATGGAGTCCATCGGATCCATTGGACACGAATAGATTCCGATGGAAAAGTTCATTTTCTATTCGTGAGAGACTTAGAAAAAGTCCGCTCATGTTGGATGAAGGGGGTAGAAAGTCGTTCCGATGGAGTCCATCGGATCTATTGGACACGAATAGATTCCGATGGAAAACTTCATTTTCCATTCGTTAGAGACTTAATAAGATTCCACTCATGTTGGATGAGGGGGTAGAAAGTCGTTCCGATGGAGTCCATCGGATCCATTGGAAACGAACAGATTCCGATGGAAACGTTCATTTTTCTATTCGTTAGAGACTTAGAATGATTTCACTCATGTTAGATGGATTCCACTCATGCCATGAGGGGGTGGAAAGTCGTTCCGATGGAGTCCATCGGATCCATTAGAAACGAATAGATTCCGATGGAAAATAACATTTTTCTATTCGTGAGAGACTTAGAAAATTCCACTCCTGTTGTATAAGGGGGTGAAAAGGCGTTCCAATGGAAGCCATTGTATCTATTAGATTCGAATAGATTCGAATGCCTGGAGAAGAACATTTTCTATTTGTAACGTCAGGTCAAAAATTGTCATCATGTTGAACGAGGTGGAAAAGTGTGAAACGGAGTCTACTGCATCAGTCTTTTGCAGTGGAGAGGTGTATAAGAGGTCGGGAAAATGGGTATGTAATCTTAATTGTTTGGTTCGCGAGAAAAGGCTAGTGAAGTCCGATCATCCATCAAAAACTGCATCGCATCATGAGGTAATTTCTTTTTAAAAGCGAACTCGTATTTGAGATAATTCAGTATAACAATATCTGTGTAGCGAATGGCGGTAGCGATATGCGTTCTCTATTCGTCGAGCTCCCGAATTTCGATATGTTAGTTCGTTGTTATACTCCAGGAGAAGTGAAACAAGTCAATTAGATTTGACAAAGTGAGCGTGCTACAGGATCAGGTAGCGCGAACTGTTGGGAACGCGAAGGATGCGATCGAGGGGGACTAGAAACAAGAGTTGCCTGATCGACAAAATGGCCAAGACGGGCGCATCTTCCGATCATTGACTTTCTAAAAGAATTTACGAGTAAAGAATTCGAACGGCTAGGAAAAGGCATATGGAATTATCTTAAATTCCACTGTTCCTTGAAAATGTGGAATCTTTCGATATTAAATCACAGCATAAGAAAGCAAAAACGTAACCTGAAGTGCGAATTTGGAATTCCTCCGAGGGAAGAATCGACGGAGTTATCTATTTTTTGAAACTCGTAAATGGAATCTCTCAGTAGGATTTTGGCATCCCTCCGAAGGAGACGTTTCAGAAGGGGTTTGGTATTCTTAGAAGGAGGTGTGTTGCAAATGGAATCCCTCAGAAGGACTTTGGCATCCCTCAGAAAGAGATGTCTTTTGCCTGAGATTTTGATCCAAAAGTAAGTAGCCAGGAAAATACCACTATTCATTATCTGCATGTACTTGCAGTTACTATACGCACCACAAAACACAAAAATAAATAAAAAACATACTGGTTTCATTAGGTTGCCATGGCGACTCCATTTGCAATAAAACCTAGATAATAAGAAATTTTCATGTTTATATAATACAGGAATGTTGTGGTAGCCTTTTTCCCATATCTTTACTCATGCTGATGTAGTTAATGCTTAAACTTGGAAGGTATTCCCCTAAAAATCCAGTCAAGCCACCGTATTTAATTTTGTTTTCTCTGTCATACCTTTTTTCTTGCAATCTCTCATAGGTAAAGAGAGATGAGGAAGTGAAGAAACCTATCAGGTCTGGATCCCCAATGACATTAGGAACAAGGAGGATATCTCAAAAACGATCAGAAATCTCCCTGTACCTACTAAAGCTGTTATCCCACCTCTCAATTCTAACAATGAAGATAACAAGTGAGGTCTTATTTGCAGAAGGCGGCTATTCCTGAAGAAGGCACAGATGGTGACAGGTGAAAGAAGGGCAAAGGGACGGGCCTTGCTGGAAGCTTTGGAAAGGCCAGGCATCAGTCAGCTTCAGGTGCGGGAGTTCCTAGAGCTGGCTGATGAAAACGGACAAGTGAGACCAGCCCCTTCAAAGCAGTCTGATAAACCTTTTTTCATTCCTGAGTCTCCTTTGTAATAGTTATCCTTTTAGTTCAGCTCGTCGTTGTTTTGTTGTTTTTGTTTTGTTTTTTTATCCTCCTTTTATTCCTCTCCTGGGAATTTTGCTGAGAAACTTGTTTTGAAGCTAGTGGCTTCGTTTTGTAGTCACTGTCTGGCTTATGAGCTAAATCTTACCAGAAGACTGTTTAAAGGCCGTGTAGTTCACAGCGTCAGTTACAGATGCAAATTGAAAATGTTATTTTCAAAAGTTGGGGCATGCATAGAAAGCATGAGATGGTTTCGTGGTTTTAAAGTAACACAGCTGCAGTCACAAATTTCGCTTTCCCTTCTTTATTCGCTTTTATTGCTAATTTTTTTTTTTTCTTTCATTGGACACTACTGTTACTGGCTTCATTTGGGTTGGGAAATATTGGGAAAGCTTTTAAATAGTAGAATAGCAGGAAGTGATTGGTTAATTGGAACATAATTATTTTTGCAATTTTTAAATCAATGTTACATGGTTTTTTTTTTGTTTTCCTCTGGTCCCCTGTACTGAATATTTGTGCTCACTCTTCCTCTTCTTCAAAGCTTTCTTTGACAAGGGCATTGAGAATGGGATGAAAGCAGTGCAGTGGCTATAAAGCTAATAAAATACAGTGCATGATGCAATGCCAAAGAAAATTTTTTGTTAATTACTGTTATGAGAGGAGAAGTAATAGTAAAGACCTTTACTAGCTTGTGGTTGTTACCGCAGGTGCTATGTTTCCCCAATGTAGGTCATGTGTGACAACATTTAGGGCATGGAAATCAAGCCTAGCCATGTGATGGTGCTCCAAAAAATGCTTTCTTTAAAATTGTGTATAAGTCACATCAATAATTTTTGGACACAAGACCTATATAAATTTTAAGGTTATGATGGGTAAATTGTTGTGAGAACACCTCTTCGTTCACACTGGGGGAAAGCAAAACACAAGCTAAAAGGAATTTACTGTCTCTTCTTAAGATGTTATACCACTGTCTAATATTCAGCATAAAAGCTGCAATCCTGCATTGAAAGTCTTTGGAACAATGATTGAGTATTTGTAATTTATTTGTGCCCTGGCTCATAGCCAGGTGCTACCCTTTTGAAAAATACCCTGTGTTAAATCTATCACTGTTTCCCCACACCCTTTACATATTGAAACTGTGTGCATATATCCAACATATTTCCTGTAGGGTGCAGAATAGGGTTGGGCATGCATGATTTTACATGAAAAACACAAATTAACTCTAACTTGTTATAAGAAATTTGTCCATGCTTTTCTCAACAAAGGTATGATTAATAGCAATCCAACAGAGGAGGAACGGTAAGCCTTGCTGGAAGCAGTGAAATATTGTTTGAACATGAGAAGAGAAATTTCATATTTCCGAGCGGCCATGCAATATGTTCCATTTATTTTATACCACTGAAATACTTAACCATTTCACTTATTAAATGAATAATTTTTTTTCTGTAAAAGGTGTGAGTTGTTATATTGTACCATAGCAGTCAGGTGATCTTTTCACATGCAAAGTAGACTACGTGTAGTCCC